AGGGAATGCGGCAGCTCCTTCCTTATATGGCTCCATCTCCTGAGCTCCTCCTCCAGCCCAGCTCACATGCCGGCAATCACCTTTCCACAATACTGCCCAAATCTATGCTGCTCTTTGTGGGTCTGATTCCAGCCAATGAGGTCACAGCATGCTGAGATCCCGCCTTTCCCGCTGGGGCTGGGAATCGCCGGTGGTGCCCGTCCAGGCCAACGTCGTCCTCCTGACAGGGTCCACGCTGCATGCTTCACCATATCAGCGGATTGCAGGGCTGCTTTGCGGAGACCCACATCCTGCGGTGAGGCTGCCTAGCAGTAGGCCTCCTCTGACTGACACCAAAATGTCACATCCCACAGCAGGAGCTGACAATGGCATCATACTTCCACCCCCATGCAGCGGTGACGCACCCGTCGTGGGGGTGTGGAGGGACCCAGATTCTGCAGGAGGCCAGGCCTTTGACGACGATGCCACCACATGTCACGACAGCAATGAAGACACCAGGTAGCAGGCAGGGTGACACCGAGGGCTCTTCAGAGAGTGTGTGTGTAACGTCAAAGGCATGTGAGACTGGCACCAGTAATACGAAGGGGTGACACCATGACTCACTCTGATGACATCACTCCTGTGGGCGGTCAAAGGAGAGGGCAGTGAAACATAAGGAGATCAGAAGATCAGAGGATTTCTGCTGTCTGCTGATGAAGAACAACTGGTCGGCATCTGAGGCAGGAAGGGTTGCTCTGGGTTAGTGTTTCCCAATCCGGTCTTCGTGGACCCACCAGTCCACTTTTTCGAAAAAATGTGGACTGTTTGACAGGGAGCTGGCAGGGAGCAAAAATGTGGACTGTTTGACATGGAGCAAAAATGTGGACTGTTTGACAGGGAGCAAAAATGTGGACTGTTTGCAGGTCCCTGAGGATCGAATTGGGAAACACTGCTCTGGGCAATCTGGTAAAAAACTTAGTGCTCAGCCCTGATTGTGCAGATGCTGCATGCATGTGCCACATCATAATGCCCACTGCATCTGCTAGCCAATGAGGGAGCTCAGCGGGAGCCATGTGGTGTCAGGGGCGTGGCCACCCAGTGCTTTAACAAACAGCCATTGGCTAGATCTTTGATGACAAAGAACTTAAAATGAAGATGAGTTACTCATGTCATGAAAAGAAGCAAGGCAAGCAGATTTCTGTTGGACTAGTTGTGGTAAAGCTAACTAGTGTCCTGGCCCTGGTGGCCTTAGGGCTGGGTACTGGCCTGCACATTGGATTACATAGACAATCCACTCACCAAAGATCAAGACCCAGTCAGGAAGGATTAATGGTGGATGTGAACCTGGATGTGAATGATCATGTGAGGGTCAGGAAGCTGCTCTCTGGGGGTCACTCTATGCAAAGGTGGACGCACACGGGTTGCATCATTCCCTTGAGGCTCGTAATGCCTTTGCTAAGGAAGCTCGGGGGAAGGGCGAAATCCTTTTTCGTGGCCCACCTTGTTGCTTGTAAAGGAGCCTGTTGCCAGGGAAACGAGCTGGCATCGCCCCCTCCCCCTGCTCCCCACAGTACCCCTCTGTAAAATGTGCGGGAACGACCAGTGACTCGTGTACGGCAGCTTGAAAGCACCTCTGCAGAAACGGGAGCGTGCAGAGAGAAAGGCTGTAATTAAAGTTGATGAGGACACAAAGGCTCACAGGTGACGCTCCTGCAGACGCCCTCTGCCTCTCTGGTCCACCTTCCAGCTGCTGCTCCCTGAGCACACTGCAGAATTAGCAGAGTGCAGTATTTACTTCCTGGAAGGGTATCATCTGTCGCATTGACAAACGCTGCTCCTCTCTCTCCACAGACACGCTCCAGTCAGACCATGGCTCCTCACCCATCAGAACACAAAGGAAGGTGACACCAGTGGTCTTGACAAACTGGAGGCCTGAGGACCCGAGTCATCAGTGTGGCAGGCAAGTCAGTACAGTTGTTAAGGTGAATCCTGAACTACTGCCCTATAGTTTATTGTAACATCTTCTTACATGCCCAGTTACTTGTCGAAATACTTATTTTAATACTCTGTCGTCCCGCCATTACCTGTCATACTGCCCAGTGGCTTACTCTGATGTCCTGTTACCCGTCATACTGCCCTGTGGCTTACTCTGATGTCCTGTTACCCGTCATACTGCCCTGTGGCTTACTCTG